GCGGGGTGCAAAGAGTGGTTTCCTTCCTCCCCAGGCCGTGCTCGCCATTGTCTGAGCCCCCAAAGCACATACATAAAAGATCAACCAAACAAAGTATTTGGGGTTTAATTGAATGGTGCCGCTTCTGGCCAGGGGAAAACTAATTGCTCAAAGCATGGCCCGGTGCCACACTGGGGTTTTCTGTCTGCTGCAGCTCATCTCCAAACCCCCTGGGTGGGTGATGAAGAGGGACAGAGGCTGCAGATGCCCATCTTCCCTGCTCCCAGCTCCCTGGCTCCCGTCCATCTTCCCATCTCCCATCCATCTCCTCATCTCCCGTCCATCTCCTCATCTCCCGTCCATCTTCCCATCTCCCGTCCATCTTCCCATCTCCCGTCCCTCCCCCCCTCTCCTCATCTCCCGTCCATCTCCTCATCTACCGTCCATCTCCTCGTCTCCCGTCCATCTCCCCATCTCCCGTCCATCTTCCCATCTCCCGTCCATCTTCCCATCTCCCGTCCATCTCCTCATCTCCCGTCCATCTTCCCATCTCCCGTCCATCTCCTCATCTCCCGTCCATCTTCCCATCTCCCGTCCATCTCCCCGGCTCAGCAGCAAGCGGCTCTGTGCTGCCTGCCTGGCTCCCTTCCCAGGGAAGCTTGCTCTTCCCCGACATGCGGGGTCTCCAGTCCCTCCTGGGTGGGAAATACAGCGTTAGAGACTCCGGACACACAGGGACACACGATCTGGGTGCTTGGGGCCAGCCCCTCCCCAGCCCTGTACCCAAAAGCTCTGCAGACCCGCTCATACTCGTACCAAGCCGTGCAAACTCCTCAGCTCAAAAACTCCAGGCTGGACCTGTCTCTGAAGGGGCGATGGAGCTGCCTCAGTGCTGCACACACCTTCCCCAGCCAAGCCCCCCATCACTGACGCAAAAGCCCAGAAAATGGAGAAAGGTAAAGGGACCAGATATGCACAGAAAAGAGGCAGAGAGTATTGGATTCTACCTGAAAAAAAAGCGTTTCACAGGCAACCGACGGCCACTATAACTCATGTCCAACATCAAACGGTGCCAGCCGGTTGCTTCCTCCCTTTCTAGGATGAGGAGATGATGATGCATTTCCAGGAGACGCTTGAAATCCTCTCCCTCCAGGCTCCCCTGCATCCTCACTCTCTCCGGGGACGGAGGGGAGCCCTGTGCTCAGCGCAGCACCAGGACCCAGTCCCCAGCGCTCAGCAGCCCGGTGACACTGCACCCTCCTGTGGCTGCACACGGCAGAGGCTGCGCGCTCAAATCCTGTGAGGCCCAGGCTCAGCACCAGGATGGGAGAAACCCCGCACGGATGATGGGCCAAACCCTGGGGAGGCACAAAGAGCAACACTTCCAGGGAAGCTGAGCACCATCGCTTCCCGGTGGTGCTGGTGATGCCCAAGTGCATCCAGTGCACCCAGCTGCAGGACCAGCTTGCACGCCACTGAGGCCAACGCTCATTTTAAGGCTTATAGGGCTGCAAAGTGTCCTGGTTGCCATTAAAACACATAGGGAACAATGCTGAGGCCTGATGGGGTAATTTTGTAAAACCATTTTGCACGTAAAATAAAAGAAATTCTCTCTTGCTACGTCTAAACTGCAGGGCCCAGGCAAAGTTCCCAGCACTGGCTCTAAATCCCAGCCTGGCCCCAAGTCCACGTTGGGACATGCCACTTAGCCACTGACTGGGTCTTACTAGTCAGCAAAGCCTGAAAATACACATATACATGCAATTTTCTTTTGGTTCAGACTCATCCGAGCTTGCTTATTCCAAGCAGTGCAGGAGTTCCATAAACAGAGTGGTATTTTATTGACCATATTTCGAGCCCAGAGGAGGGCAACAAAGGTGATGAGGGGACTGGAGCATCTCCCCTACGAGGAAAGGCTGAGGGAGCTGGGCTTGTTCAGCCTGGAGAAGAGAAGGCTGAGAGGGGATCTCATCAACACCTACAAATATCTCAAGGGTGGGGGTCACGAGGACAGAGCCAGACTCTTCCCAGTGGTGCCCAGCGCCAGGACAAGGGGCAATGGGCACAACCTGAAGCAGAAGAGGTTCCAGTTGAATGGGAGGAAGACTTGTTGACAGGGGGGCTGTGGAGTCTCCTTCTCTGGAGATCTTCAACCCCCGCCTGGACGCTGTCCTGTGCCCCCTGCTCTGGGTGAGCCTGCTTGGGCAGGGGGGTGGGACTGGGGGATCTCCAGAGGGCCCTGCCAACCCCTGCCATGCTGGGATTCTGTGTGATTTACCTGAACAGAACAGCGTTACTCTAAGAAAATATTTGGAGCACTTGAAAGAACGATCACAATGCACAGACTGACCTATACACCCCCCCACCCCCACCCCGAAAAGCAAAGTGAGTATTTCTTTCTCCCTTGTTTTTCCTTCCAGCCCACATATTGCAGTACAGCAACAGGACAATTAGAAGAGGTTGGGGTTTTTTTGTTAGGGTTGGGTTTTTTTAGTGTTAAGATGACAATTCTGGCTGGGCAATCTGATTTCCCAGATCAGCAAGTTGTAAGAATACAGCTACCAGGGAATTCTTACCATGTATGCACTAGGAGATTCTGAGCCGGGCCTGAATGCATAAAAATGTCCTTTACTTCTTGGCCACCCACAAACCCATCCGTGCCTGTGTCTGTTTTAAGAAGGTTTCATCGTATCGCACTTTTTCAGATGTTGGTGCCACCCAATTCACAGATGGCTGTAAAACAGGGGTTTATATTCCAAAAGAAGACCGACAGCCTTCACTGACACCCCGAGCATATACGGCGTTATTCAGAGCTGGGTGTGCTCGACACCTTGCACTATCAAACCAGTAAATAGGTAATTCCCCTTTTCCCATGATTTTTGCTTAATGCTTTTTATCTGAATTATAACTACTGATAAACAACGGTTCATCCATTGAAAAGCATCCATTCTTTAGAAATACAGACCCAACTAAGGCACATTAAGTCCTCAGGCTAATAACACAGGAGCTTTAGAGGTAGATTAATGATTTCTTTGGTCCTAAAGCAGATATATCAATAAAACCTTTTTACGGCTTCACTTCCTATGGAGAGGGAAAATTCCCCGTAAGATTTGCTACCTCATGGTCACTTCGACTAAAATTCACCTGCTCTTCTACCGTCCTTCCAAGTCTTACCATTCGCATGTCATTCCCTAATCCAAAGCAAACACCATGTTGAAAACATGAGAAGTGCTCACACCAGGCAGAAATGAAAAAGCAGTTTTATCCTTTCCTGCAGTTTACCACTACAGAAAAGCAGGCAAAAAAAAGAAAAAAAAATGAAAAAGAAAAAAAGGGAAAAAAAAAAAGATTTGTCCCCATGCTTGCTTGATGCTGTGCTGGAGAGAGAAGCTCCCCATGCTGTTCAGACTGTTGGTGCTACCATGAGATGGGGTAGAAGGACAATTTTGATTAGAACAGTCGGTCATTGCAAAGCTCTGGAGAAAACACCCAAGCCATTTGCTCTTGCAGATGCCCTGTGAATTGAGAATTTAAAGCCACCTACAACAGCAAACTCATCCCTGCCCAGGTGACCTTCCTTATCGATATCAGTGAGATCCCAGACCTACAGCAATTATGGTAAAAACAAGGATTTAGAGAACAAATTACCTTTTGTGCTTGTTTACCTTCTCATGGAGGTACAGTTCCTAATACAGCAGCGCTCCGCTCAGTATTTCGGGTACTGCTGTAATAAACTGCTCTGCTTTGTAGCCCAAATACTGCAGACTGAGAACCTGCAAGGGAAACCAACTGTAAACAAATGCTTTTGGTTTTCCACCAGTGTAGAGACATGCAAACTAATTGCCCAGCAGCAAAACTCAGTGTAATTAATCCCAGGTGTTAGCTGAAATTGGGTTGTTGTCTCCCCAACCTGTAGCTCCAGGTTGAAAGGGCCACTGCCAGCTTTGAAAGCACAAGCCCTGGGAAAGCGGTTATCAAGGTCGTTGTACATTGCCTAAACTTTGTGGGGATTTTGGGCAAAGGACAAATGTGCAGGTGAGCCTGGCTGAGGGCTCAGGGTGAGCGCTCTCTGCTCCCCGCAAGGTTGGGTGTGTCGGGATGCTGTGTTTTCACCCTTGTAAACTGCCTACGTGACTCATCCCTTCTATCTCAGGATCTCACCTTGTCCTTGGAAAAACCTTTAATATGGATTTCGGGGTAAACACCGTGTCCTGCTCCGTGTCCCAACGTAAAGAAAGGGCTCCTCAAGAGGGAGTTGCTAACGAAATGCCAAACAGTTGAGTAATGCCCAAGGATGGCTTGCATTTTGCATAGCTAACCCTAATTACTGTATGGTTTTATTCCAATTGGTCTTGAACACCAGCAAGCTCAGCCTGCCACCATCAGGGCCCTAGTCCTGACTTCTACCGTACCAAGTCTCCTGCCTGCAACAGGGAGACACTTTGGGATTCCCCATCCATCTTGTTGGGGCACCTCTTTGCATTCAGCAGAAAGAAGTCACAGTGCCATAGCCTTTCACCCGGGTCACCAAAAGCCGGCACTGAACCCCTTACCCACCTCTTCCAGGCTAATGAGCTGTCAAGTGGCAGTCAGCTGGTGATGAAACATGGAACCTTTTCCCTTCTGGAAAGGGAGATGTGGCCCTGAGGAGCAGCTGGAAATCCTGCCAAAATGAAGCACCATTTGGTGGCCCTGGGGTTGGATGGTTCCCAGCCGAGCTGGTAGCATTACGGCCATTTTGGCACTACAAAGAGCTAATCAGAAAGCAGAGCAGAAAAAACAACCTAGGAGAGACTTCTTGGGCTAGTGGAGCCTAGATCCTGACCGCTACAAACCATCCCTCCAAAGCAGGCCTACAGAGAGGGCCTTTCTCAGTAACCTCTGGCCTGGATGTGGCAAATCCAAAGAAACGAAGCTCTCCTTACCCCCTGGTGACCTCCAAGGGACACACCATGGCATGGTAGAGATGTTTGTGCAAAAGGGCTCACCCCCTCCATGACCCCTCACCCACGGGCAAGAGGAGGACTTTGCTCTCCAGGCAACGTCTTCCCCCAACGCATTTGTTTAAATAACAACAGCTCTTCGCCACCTTCCTCTGAGTTGTTTTCTTCCATAGGAGACCCATACCCTGGCACGGAGAAGGTCTCAGAGCTCTGTCACTCTTCAGAGGTACACAGCTTTTATTTTCTCTTCTTTCCTTTCCTGTGCAAGAAGGAAATAGGTCACATTTCAAAGAAACCAGCAAATGGAGGGTAGCGAATGACAGGCGGCTCACTGGATGGTGCGGCCCGTTCCCCTCCTGTCTGCCAAAATCAACACGCTTTTTACTTGCCGAAGAACATTTTCCCCCTTCTTCCCTTTCTTTCTTCCAAATTGGTGTAAGGAAGCCCCAGCAAGACATCCCGCCCCTCCACAGACCAGGTAAGAGGCACTTTTTTTTGCTGTCGGTATCTCGGGTAGCTGTTACACGACATGGCTGCTTTGTTCCTTGCCTCGTACCCTTCTGCACACGCCGGTAGCATGGGGGGTTAGTGGCAGGAGGGGAGATCCTGTGAAATGTTGGTGTTAGTAGGCCCAGATGAATTCATCGTGCGACCACGCTAGCTTTTCTACCTGTTACTCTTTTGGTTCAGGAAAAAAACCCTGGTGTGAGTTAGGGGGGCATCATGTTCTTTTTGAAGTCGGGGGGGATATAATAGGTCAGAAGATGCTGGAGTGATGGCTTGTAGTCCAGGGCCAGCCATTTTCTTCCCTTTACCTCTGGATGTGACATCAAAACTCATCTCCTTTGGAAGTTTCCCTTTAAACGGCCTGCGAGCCTCAGTGGCAACGTGGGAAAATTTGGGATACTTGGGACCTGCTCCTAGTGTTTGAGAAGGACTTCAGAGATTTCCTCCTGGCAAATACAACAGCAACTACGCTCAAAACCAGAGGTCTCCGGCAAACTCACATTTACTTCCCTTAATTTCTTTGTCATCTCGTCTGCTATTGCTCTGCACTTCTCTGTGCAAACAGGCACGGTTCCGAGCCCCGCTGCTCCAAGCGCAGCCTGTGGTGTTACGGAATAAACTGGAACAAAGGGAAGTGGAGATTAAACCTCAGAAAACATTTCCTAACCAGGCAGATCTATTGGGCTGTGGAATAAACACCACAGGGACGCCAGGGAAAGCCATCACATGGGCAGAACTGGAGAGGGGACCGGAGAAAGGATCAGGCAGAAGGCTCCTTTGCTGGCCAGGGGATGAACACACTGATCTACAAGGCTCTGCCTTCTGATAATATTTCTGACTTTTGTCTTTTCAACCTTTCCTCATCCTTTTTCCTCTTGAGAGCGGAAGGGGCCTGAGTCTCTGAAAAGCTTGCTGATGCTCCTGGGAATAGGATTTCCTAAAGAAACATGGATGATGCCACAGCAGTGTTTAGAATCCACCCATGTACACATGTGGGTGTTTAATGACTTTAAAAGTTAATTGCCCTTAAGACCTCCACCAGAAGGAGGGTTTCCTGAGAACTCTTGGATGGCGAGGACGATGCCGCAGCCCCTGCACTGCCCTGAGGCACCCAGCTTCACAAAGAGCAGAAAACCTGTGAAGCACCAGGCTCTGTACGTGATCTAAGCTAAGCTCTGTACGTGATCTAAGCTAAGCTCTGTACGTGATCTAAGCCCACTCCACCAGCTGTGTAAAACTTTGCTTGAGCAGCACTGAGAGGGCCAAGGTGGTCAGAAAGGACAAGAGATGGGTCAGTTAAGCCAAGCTTTGGCTCACACAAACCCCCAGCAAGTGGGACCGGCAGCACAGAAGCAGAGATGTCAATGGCAAAGGATGCCACCGAGCTGATTTTTGTTTTTACCTCTAACAGTTGTGTGGGTCTGAGTTCAGTAACATGACCGGGAACAGAAAGACGGATGAAGTGGCTCTTAGTAGGGCAGGCACTATCAAGGGGCAACGCAGAAAAATTAACCTGGAGTGTTGGAAATGCGTAAAAGTACAGGTAGCTGCTACCAAGTCGTTTAAAAACCCCTCACCTCCCCCCCTTTGTTTAGCACTTGCTCTCCCAGGAATCTCTGCTAACTCACAGGGTAGCATTAGATGGGCAATATCCAACAGACTAGGTTATGAATTGACGTACAAGGCTTGTTTAGTCCTTTCCTCACTGGTGTGGGAATACGCATTTTGAAACGCAGTTTTGATCACTGAATGTGCTTACTTAGCCTTGTAGTATCTCCAGAGGTGCCAGGAAAGGCCCTGCTGGGTATGGAATTGAACGGACACAGCAGAAACCGGGGCCAGGCTGTGGAGAGCCCAGAACGTCAGATACCAGGGGCTGTGGAGAACATGGGCAGCTCTCCACAAACTCCATACAGAGCCAGCAAACAGCGTTATAGTCACTGTAAGGGAGCTACTAAGGATAAAACATGAACTAAGGTCTTAAATAACTCTATTTCCCTAAATCCTAGTCAAATAATCGGAACAAAACCCCTTTGCCATTATTACTTAAAATAATCAGAAAACCCCATACAGATCTAGCCCGTTATTTCTCTCTGCCTCCGTTTGACACTTGGAAAGCAGAGATCGCAAGCTGCCTGTTTGTGGAGCATTTCAACGCTCAGAACGGTCCTTTTCACATAGGAAATGACTGCTGGTGAATGCAAACTTCCACTGCCACTTGCAAGTCGCACGCTTTGCCCAAACGCGTGTGGGTCACCATGCGAACACGTTCTTACCCTTCGGAACGAATAAGCTTTTGCAAGAAGAACGGAACTGGTGAAGGTGAAGTTTTTAGCTTCTCCTGCCTCCAGCTGTATTAATTTTCCTCTTCAGATTTCCTCTTCAGGAACTTCCTATGACCACCCCATAATCCTGAACAGTCTGAAGTTCATGTTTAATCCTCATAACATCCATCAGTAAAGGAACAGTCTCACTCCGCTTTGAAATAGAGGTCAAAGACCTCCTGAACAGCAGCGATGAGGCAAAGCTTGTGCTCCCACTCTGGTGAAGACCTATCAAGACCGTCAGTAACCATCAGGACAATATTTTACACCTGTGGTTTTGGAGGCTCAGCTGGATCTTGCAGAATTCCCCCCCTTGTTGCAGGTTAGATTTCAAGCTCAGATTCATCTTTTGTCTTTCAAAACTCCAGACAGAGCAACTGACTTGGCTGTCGAGTTGCAGATGACTGTTAGGCTCCGAGCCATCTTTCTACTTTATTTGCCCGGTTTACAAGCTTAAAGCCAGGAGCTGCCACGTCTGCCAGCGCGGTGCCCTCGGCTCCAACCACACACACGGCTCTGGCCCTTTTCTACAGAGCTGGCGAGATATTTCCTGGGATGTTAAACATGCCCTTGGCAATAAAAGAACCATCTCCCACTTCCCCGTGGCTACTTCAGTGAGGGACCTTAAATTCATCACCTAACAGAGCCTTTTCCGGAGACCCTGATGAAGCACTGACCTCGAAATGCTTCTGACTGTTGGAAGGAACAGGGCTGCTAATTGCCATCGTCTCCCAGTTCATACCAGGGCAGCTTAGCCACAGACCTAGTTTCATAAGCCACAGGGGACTGAAGCCTCTTAAGCCAGCCTGCGTAACAGCCTTAGGCTTCCAACAGGATCGGGCTGCCCAATTTTCTGCAATTCCGCTGATCAATGGCTGCCTCTGCGCTAGGTTGACGGCGCAGAGACATCTGAGCTGGCTTAGGGACTGGAAACGTCTGTCTGCGGTCAGCCGGTGCAATATTAATGCGGTACCTTTGCAGGCAAGAGGCGTTAAAGGCGGCCACAGCTACTAAATATTTCTCCATGCCGTTAGCCAGAGCCTGCATGGGCTGAGCAGCGCATTCACCCAGGGCCTTCTGCAGGTGCATCAGAACACAGGGATCCTCTGCAGCATCCCAGGACTTGGGACGCTACTCCTGAGTATGCAAAAAAAACCCCCCACCCTCACAGGACTGAAGCTGTTAGCAACTGCGTAGCTAATCCGGACCCAAAGGGATGGCGGGAGGGTTAATAAACTTCTCGCAGCTGATGATCGAATCACTTTAGCAGGGACAGATGCCCGTAAGGCACACAGTATGAACGCTACAGAAGTTGAAGCTTTAGGCAGGACCTGTCACTTGTACCTTGGGACACATGCGTAGCTCTTTTTATTCTGGGTGATCCTAAAGTCCAGCAGAAAGCAGCTACTTCATCTCCCGGGTGCTCCCGAGGGGATGAGACAACACACAGCTGTGGCAGCAAGTTAAGAACTCAAACAGATTTAGGGGTCTGGCAGAATAAATGGGGTAAGAGGCTTCAGATAATGCTGCATTTTTAAAAATCCCAAGGAAGTTTCAGAAACAGCCCCAAACCCTTCAGCTCTGAGCCTCGCCGGCCATAATAAAGCACACGGAAAGACGACAAACTGCCTGTTTTTCCAAGGCCTGTTCTAGATCATCTGGCGATGTGATGTGCTTACCACAATGGGCAGCACCATGCTTGTGAGAACTCCAGCCCATGGCATTGCCCTAGCATGAGCCCTCCTGCCTCCCTCAGCTTCCTCACCTGCAGGCTCATCAATGCCATCCCTCAGCTGCCTCGAAATAGAAAAGAATTGAAGGGTGGCGCATGGCTGCAGACCACGTTCTCCATCAGCACATTTTCAAGGACAAAATTTCTCCTCACCCTGGACAAAACCCCGGGTAAAGCCTTCGAAGGGACAGGGAACAGTCCCGGCTCTTAGGAGAATTGCCGCTACCTGCCAGGTTTTCCAGCTGAGGGCACAGAAACCCAGCAAGGTTACCAAGCAGACAAGAGCAATTTTAAAGCCTTTCTGGACACATACTGAGAAAAATCTTGAGGCGCAAGAGTTAAAAACCCAAAGCAGAACACTGAGCCTTCCAGTTCATCTACCGGGAGTGTTGGCAGGGATCTCCAGCAGCGCTGCCACAGGATGGGATGCATTGGATTCTGCCCAGGGCTCCTGGAAGGGTCCTGGGTCAGGCAGCACTGGGATGAGCTGCACAACTGGAAAGCAGAGATGACTGAGCAGCAAAAGAATGGAGCTGCTGCTTCTGGGGTTACGTTCTCCACTAGCTACGCGTACTCAAGCACCCGGATAATATTAGTGAACTTGGCGTCAAACCTTCCTTTACGAGGATTTGACCAGAAGAAGTCACTCTGCCCAAGCACTTAGAGCTGTTGCTGCCTGTCAACAGTTAACTGGGCAGGAAAGCAGATGAGAGAGACAAAGCTGCAGGAGATACCAGGCCCATCATCTACCAGCCACTGACTTAAATCCTAAGCTCAAGTCTCAGAGAAAGGTCTTCTGCATCCAAGGTGCCCAACACAACCACATTTTGCCCAGGTTCTCTCTCATTTTGGCCAAAAAGACCAAGAGACAGAAGCCAACTGAGTATTTTAAAAGACCTCAAGGGTTTGAAAAAA